CTCGCAGTCCAGGCACCATTGGTTGTGACGCAGGCCGTAGTCATGTTCATGAGTTGTTGGTGGTTGAACCACTTTAGGCTGGAGTCAAATTTGGAACCTCTTGCCTTCCAGTCAACTAAAAGGATAACTCGAGTGACGCCCTTGAGGAATGTATGTGACTTTGGCAAAACGATTCCCAGCTCATTGTGAATGTTGGTTTCTCGGATCCAGTACGTTAGGCGTTTTAGGATGACGCCTGTAGATGGGTTGCCCCGCCAACCGCCCAGCGCATACTCTCCCGTGGCGTCCTTAGTTCTGCGCTGGGTCGACTGTTCAACATGACGAGCCATTGGACAGAGGTCGAGCAGCCATTCACCCCCCTCTCGTGCACGGGCCAATGGGAAGATGACCACCCCAAACGACATGGCGATCGGGGTGCTGTCATCTTCCTGAATTCTTACCAATTCTCTCAACTTTTTTTCGGGGGTGAGGGTGACATCCAACAGATCGTCTCCTTCCCCCGACACTTGTTGTGTTGTCTTCATCGTCACAGACGACAATCGCAGTTCGTCAGTTCCAATTGGGGGGGGGGGGTTGTGAGGCACAATCTCTTGAGTTTGGCCGTTGCTTTCACAAACAGGGGGGCGTTGTTGCACGATTTCGTCGTGTGGGGGTTCTACCTCCAGGGGTGTGTCCCTTGTCTCCCATGCTGAGACAGTTGTTGCTTAATATTAGGGATGGCAAGCGGGGTTGCACCTATGGTGCCCAAGGAACATTGTCTCTCTTTCAGATGTTGTAAGGGGTGCTGCAAGAGGGGATATAGTGTATCACACAATTCGAGTATCAACACTATAGGCCAGGCCAAACCTTCATGGAGGAACACCTCCGAACGGGTATTCTGGCTATTCCTCGAGTCACCGCCCCCCTTTAGAGCCCCTGCATATTTTTCAATCTTATCAAGGAACTCGTTCACCATCAGGACGATGGCAGCCCCAACAACCATCCAGTTTATTGATGAAATGTCCTTGTATTTCTCAACTGTGGCCAAAATCCGGGGGTTGTACATTAGTACCAGCTTGGCCTTCTTCAAGTGTTCGTTCTCTAGCCTTTCCGCGGGTCGGTCATCCGTGAGTGAGAAGATCTTCGTGAGGGTCCACTCTGTGAGGACACCGAGTTTCTGTTTGACCTCCTCATGAGCAGAAAGTGGCGGGGGGGGGCAGCCTTCGCCTTCCGGAGGTGGCGGTGGGGGCAGGATGACATCGACATCCATATCGATCGTGAAAGGTTGGTGGCTCTCCAGCTACGGGCACTGGACCTCTTCCGGGGCGGAGATGTCCATGTTCTGGGGTTCCTGGCCGTCCTCGGGTACATGCGGGAGTGCGATGGCCGGGAGTCCCATTTGGATCTGTTGTGCGTGCCCCTTCTGCCGGACCGCCTCCTACTGCCAGAATATGCGCAGTTGATCCTGTTGCTGGAGCAAAATTTGTTGTTGTTGGCAACACAGTTCTTGTTGCCATTCCAACTGGATTTGCTGGAGGATTTGCTGCTGCTGCATCATCCTATGTTGTTGTTTTTCATGATGGTATTGTGACAGCTGAGCCCGCAGCAGAAGGTGGAACTGCTGGATATAGTCACCCTCGAGCTTTCTTACCTTTTTTTATTTCCATGATGTCAATGGAAACCGATTCACGAGAGTGTAAGGGATGGGGAGAGGTTTCAGCAGGCCAAGGGGCTTTTCCCTATGAATCTTATTATGTTGACAGACTTCGCATTCAGTCACAATTTTTGTGCACATCCTTTCATATCCAGCTAGTCAAATTGCTGCAGTAGACTTTCGTAAGTGTTTTGGAAGTCAATGTGTCCACTACGACCATGTGCCAAATCCAAGAAGTGGGTTTTTCCAATGCTTTAGTGCCTCTCGCATAGAGCTCACGCATATGCATGGAAGTATCTACCTTGTTGTCGGGCATGTGTTTGTTGTAATATTCAAGCGGATGCAAGGCGTCACCATAGTGGCAGCGATCTACCAATCCCATATTGTTTAGGATCTGGAATGTGGCGCACATGATGACTTACCAAAGCCTCTTTCAAGGCTTGAAAAACAGTCTCGCATGCATCACTCCAAGCACAAGGTACGTTCTTACTCGTTAGTCTTGACAAGGGGTGAGCAATGATAGCAAAATTAAGAACAAACTTTCGGTAATAAGAAGCCAAACCAAGAAAAAAATCCAGTTCGAGTACATTCATTGCACAGCAATCACAGTGTGTGGTTGAGACCAAATGTGAATGACCTCAACCTTGGCTGCGCCAGGTTCAAGGCTTACAACAAACAACCGGTGCCCAAGATAAATGACACTTTCCCTCCCAAACTCAGATTTCTCCAAGTTCAGGTGCAACTGTGCCTCTCTCAAAATCCCAAGAACTTCCTCTATATGTTTGAGGTGTTCATCCCTATCGAAAATCAGAATGCCATCGAGATGAACAACCACAAATCGGCTAATCTAATTTCGAAAAATGCGGTCCATGAGACTTTGAAAAGTTGCAGGTGCGTTTGTGAGACTGAAGGGCATGACGATAAACTCGTACAACCCATCACATGTTTTGAATGCAGTTGTGTGCTGGTTAGTCGGATAAACTTCGATCTGTTGATAACCAAATTAGAGATCGATCTTGGAGAAGACCTTGCACCCACCTGCAACATATAATAGATCATCTATGTGAGGCGAAGGGAAAATGTTTTTTCTTGTGCTTCGGTTAAGTCCACGATAATCAATGCTTATCCGGAATTTGCCTGCTTTCTTGAGAACAAACAAAACAGGTGCATTAAATTTACACTCTCTGGGTCTGATCCATCCTCGGTCAATCATATCATCAATTTGTTCTCGGAGTTCCTCCAACTCGGTTGGTATGATGCGGTGGACACAAGGAGGAGCACTACCTTCCAACAGTTCGATTTCGATGTGCGAAGTAGTTGCAGACACAACCAACAAAAAATCAGAGTAGCCCGTATTCAGGACAGTAGGGGCAGTGGTTGGTGCCCACCTCAGAGTATCAGTTGTCACAACTTGTCAGACAGTTTTCGATGCTTAACCACATCCGGGGTTAAGGTGGATTATCACTTACAGCGTAATCAGTTAGGGGATTTTGCAGACTGTTGAGGGTTCAACCTCCTAATGAGTCCGTGAAACTCCAACGAAACAGTTTGTCACAGCCGCTCGTTTGTTGTCCTCTTCTCCCTCTCCGCCTACAGTTTACCAGGCAGTGATGTTTGACGACATATATATCGTCAAACAGATCTGCCCGGTAAAGACAATATATATATATATCGTCACAAATAGAACTGCCCGGTAAACCGTAGGCAGAGAGAGAGAAGATATATATATATATATATATATATATATATAGATAGATAGATAGATAGAGAGAGAGAGAGAGAGAGAGAGAGAGAGAGAGAGAGAGAGAGAGAGAGAGAGAGAGAGCTCCAACGCTCCTTTTTCCTCTTTGGCTTCCTGCTCGCTTCCAATCTCCCATTCAATCAGCATCCTCAGTGAACATAGTGACCCTTCCATTTCTCAACTGAGGCTGACCGAGCCGCCAAAGCTTGGATCACCTCTTTCCTGCGTGCTCCTCTATGGGGGCTCACTGCTGTCTCTTGCTTGATGTCCTTACTGGTCACAATTGTAACCATGGGGCGGGTTGTGTGCCTTGCCCTTGTCAAGATCCACTACTGCTGTCATACCAAGATCCACCATGGGTGCCTTGTCATCCTCCAGTGCTTAGAGGGCCACCGCTTTTGCCTTCCAACCTATTGCCCGATAGCCCCCAGTTCTTGTTCCATTATGGATTGCCTCCGTTCCCGATGTTCCCACCAGGTCCCATTCCACCGCGAACGCCCGACTGATTCATGCTCCGGTGCCTACTCGCCTTCCTCTCAGCGATATCAGCATTCTTGAAAGGGCTAAGTTGCGCACTGAGAGCTCCCGTCATTGTTTGAGACTTAAGGCTGATTACTGGTGCTACGGAACCACCATACCCATGTTAGCATCGACTGGAAAGGTACTATCGGAATGCACATGCATGTTGTACAGACAAGGAATGCCAATGCATGCTGGCCAATCCTTGCATGATGGGTCACCTAGCATTCCAAACGCAATGATAAAGGGAGATGGTCTAAAGCATAGCATGATAGCAGTAATGTTATCCTCATCGCAAAACAAAATTACGGAGGTTCGAAATTCAAATTTGTCGATGCGTACAGTGTGTCTCAGTACTAGCGCTACACTAGAGTGAGTGTAAACGTGTAAGTACATCCGATTTGGAAGTGCCATGAGTGGCTGAATGGAACACACATATGCAACTTTGACAAACAGATCATGAGCTGAAATCCCGCTGGGTACAAAAACCTTAGCTGCTAACCCACTTTCAGAANGGGGGGAGAAAGAAGTTTGAAAAACACTCTACTCTTAGTGACACACATCCACAGACAGAAGAGAGGCTCTTGCCTTGGCCTGAAGACTTTTTGGGACAGAGGCTGGAGGGTTTATGGTTTAACAGAGCAGTTAGGAAAGAAGGCTGAAGACTAAAAGGCCAGCAGAGCAGGGCACAGTAGGTCAGCAAAGAAAGCAGACAGACGTAGAGACGAACTCACATCGGGAAGAACCTAGTGACTCTAGAATATAACGAATACCTGACAGCTGAGACAGCTGAGAGGAGACTAGGAATCCCCAGGAAAGGCACACAGGAATAGGGTAGGAAGATGGCTCGATGTTTTTTTTTTTTTTTTTTTTTTTGGTTGATAATAAGCAAAACTAGCTAAGGCTGCCAGGATAACTCCGGGTTGAATTGTGAGGTCCCCGGCGTCGATTTTCAAGCTATTAATGAAATTTTTCTTGTGAAAAAAAAAGAAACAAAAAAAAAACACTATAATGATATAATCTCTATTGGATTAGGTAGTAACAGTATTGAAATACAGGAGAGCCCACTGGTTAAGAGTAAAGCGGGGGCAGAGGGGGCAAACACACCTGTATCTTTCTCAGTTCGTCCGAAGGAGATGCTGAATGGACGCAAAGGACGCTGGGGCCCTTTAGCAGATTGCTCATCTTCAGCCGCAACCAGAGTGTCAAAGCAGCTGGCACAGCACCAAAGGCCAGTATAACTCGCCACGCAAAATCCGCTTCTGCAGGAGTGTACCAGATCTTTTGTCTCGGTGAGGCAGGGGAGCCATAAATTTTTTCAAAGCTCGCAGCTACCACCATGGCGAATGTTGCAGCGCTCAAGATTCCCAGCCCCTGCATCGCAAATGTGGCGGCCATGAATCCCCCACGGTTCCTTTGGTTGAAAGATTCTGACATGATGGAAGTGGCAACGGGGAAATCTGCACAATGAAACAGGCCCTAATTATTTCATTCACCGCTTCCCTTCCCCGAGTTGCGGAGGACATTTCATGACGTCAACTGCTTTTCCAAATTTCCATCGTTTTCTAACTTTTGTTGATGTTTATGCTTATTTTTTGTGTGTTAGTCCCTGGGCGGCCCTGCTGGGGGAAGGTCTCCTGGGTACCCTCCCGGGCAGGGTCCTGGGCGATTCCAGCGTGCCTGGCCGGGTGCGCTAGGCCGGGCAACGGCCCAACATTTTTTATTTTTTTTTTAACCTTTTTATTTTTGATTCCTATTTTTATTTGTTTCTTTTTTTCCCCCTTGGTTTTATTTGTTTTTCCCAGTAAATGGGAAAGAGAGGCGTTCAGACAACACATGTTGCACCTAATCTGCATCTCACACAGATGCAGTACGCATTTAAAAAAAAAAAAAAAAAAAAAAAAAAAAAAAAACGGAGATTGCAGGGTGTTCCTTCAGTTCAAACTGAGTTACTGAGATGCGTAACTTAAAAAAAAAATAATTGGGGAGGTGTTTCTTCATTTCCAACTGAGTTACTGAGATGCGTAACTTTGGTACTGCCAGGTGGGGGGACAATAAGGGATCAGGTTTATGAGACCATGGGAACCCCGTTAGCAGCATAGGTGCCCAAGTATAATACAGGGAGACATATTCGGAGATACGAGTGTGATAGAGCTGATAGTGTGCTGGGATGACGAGTGTAGAATAAGGAGAGACCCTGAGGCTGGAGGCACAGCCTGGTGGCCCTGACCGGTAGATTACTGATCCGTGCTTTACGGCTTCAGGCCCGCCATGCATGCACGGCCTCGAGCCGCCACCCTCAAGGGATCAGGTTTATGAGACCATGGGAACCCCGTTAGCAGCATAGGTGCCCAAGTATAATACAGGGAGACACATTCGGAGATACGAGTGTGATAGAGCTGATAGTGTGCTGGGATGACGAGTGTGGAATAAGGAGATACCCTGAGGCTGGAGGCACAGCCTGGTGGCCCTGACCGGTAGATTACTGATCCGTGCTTTACGGCTTCAGGCCCGCCGTGCATGTACGGCCTCGAGCCGCCACCCTCAACCACAGGAACCAAGTCTCTTAACCACTACAGCCCTGACGCGGTGTTCAAAAGTGGAATCATACCGATCCTGATATCCACCCCACCCCTGCAGGGCTGTAATGTCCAACGGACACAAACCACCACACACAGACACTGCAATCCGCGCACACTCAGTTCCAACGGCACATGACCCACCACCGCTACTTTAGCCGGTCACACGCACGGGCCATCTTCCCGCGGGTTCCATGGGCACCTTCACAGCAGATTACCGATCCTTGCTTTAGGGATTCAGGCCCCTCCATGCACGCACGGCCTCGAACCGGCACCCTAAGCCACAGAAACCAAGTCTCTTAACCACTACAGCCACAACGCGGTGTTCAAAACTGGAACCGTACCAGCCGTGATATCCACCCCAACCCTGCAGGGCGGTCGGGACACGCATAGTGTGTGACTGGGTACCGAGCAGATGTTTCCCGGCCATTATGCGAGCCCCGGGTGGGATTATGCAGGTATGCGCCACCAGGCTGCTCCCCCTGCACAGCATCTAGGGCGACAAGGGGGTGCGAGGTTGTGCTGATCGCTTCCTCTCTATCTTGAATTCTGTCACATGCTGCCGGTGATAAGCAACAGGACTACGGCCCCCCATAATAGATGGGGCATTGTGTCCTGGAAAAAAAAAAAAAAAAAAAAAAAAAAAAAAGCAAGGTAGGCAAGTCTGAACAGTACAGCCAGAAATGGGAGGAAGAATAAGCACTGCAGAAGCTCACAGCGCCATTGGCAAAACAGCTGGGGAGGCTGGAAGTCAAGAGCTGGGCATACAGGAACTAGATAGCAAGTATTGATGCACATTGCACACACACAACTGATGGAGTGCCACATGATACGCTGTCCATTCTGTGCATGTCGGAACGACCCCGTTCAGTCCTCTTAGAAGTTAGCATTCATCCTGAAGTTAGTTTCTTTTTCTTTTTTCCGCACAAAAACACGGCCCCATCTATTCTGGGGGGCAACAGTCCGGTTGCGTATCACTGGCAAACAAGTTTCGCAGACTGAAAACACTCAAGGAGAAGTCATAAGAGAAGCCTAGCCTTGTGGCAATAGTCACCGGTCCAAGGGGGGGGATCACTTTGAGAAAAGTGCATGTTGTAATGATCCGCCATAACACAGACTGAGAACACTGCTGATTTCTGAGTTCTGCCGATGGAATGGATGCCTTGCTGAGGTTCCCGCATTCTGCTGAGTTTTCCAAGTCTGTGTGTGCGTGCTTGGTGACCTGCGTGCCTGTCTGAGTGCTTGTCTGCATGAGTGTGTGTGTGTGCGTGCTTGGTGACCTGCGTGCCTGTCTGAGTGCTTGTCGGCATGAGTGTGTGTGTGATCCGCAAGGGTACTTGCTTGCTTGGGAGGCCCGTAGGGCCGGTACTTAACCTGTGGCCATGATATTGATGGTTGCAGCAGGGAAAACACTCAAGTGGCGGAGCAAGAGGCCTGCAGCACTTAGAGCAACGGAAAAACACTCAAGTAGCAGGTAGGCCGGTACCACACCCAGTAGAAGTAGATGTGCTGGGTACTCGAGGCCGAGCAGAAGAAGACAAAGTTGGCATTTTTAGAGGAACAGTAGTGGTAGGCTAGGTCTAGGCGGGTACCAGTCCATCCAGTCTGAGTCTAGGGCCTGTACGGGCAATATCAGAGTCTGCGATGATGTTTCCCTCCGAAAGGGAGGTGGTACCGGTTGCTTGGGAGGCCGAGCGGCCTGGAAGTCACCGCCCAGGAGGCAAGGAGGTCGCTATATGTTGAGGCTGAGCAAAGAGCCCAGCCTCATTCTTCGGTGTGCAAGTTTGGCGACACACTGCTGGAGCGCTAGCCGGAGGAGCGATGACTACTACAGCACTGCTGGGAGGAAGAAGGCCGGGAGCTTCCACCTCGGCTATGGTTGAGCTCTACCGGTAGGAGGAGGAGGGAGAAGAGGACCAAGGAGGAGAGTGGTGAGGTACCTGCCTGGCTATGGTGGACACCATCCTCATCACCTTGATAGGCGCTGCATCTGGAAGGCCCCAGTTGGGGTAGTGCCGCACCAAGGAAGCTCGGGGCAGAGTCAGGCATGGCGGCCTAATGAGCAGCGGCATAGCTGCTTTGTGTTGTCCTTTGCACAGGAAGGCAGCGACATAGCTGCTTTGGGCTGTCCTCTGGAAAGGGTAGAGCCCTCAGTAGTCCACCATAGCCTCAGCCTACATGAATAGGAAGAGGAATGGTGACCATGGCTATGGTGGACCTCATGTTGTGCCTGCAGTAGAATGTTATGAACTTGGTTGTTTCACAATTCGATTGCCACTCACACACAGACACACTCACACACGCCCATACATGCATGAGAGAAAGGGGAGGAAGAGACAGAGTTCACCTGCACACAGACCAGAGATAAACAGCGGAATAGCAACCTTGCACAGATGGGGAGAATACACAGTGTTCTCTCTCTCTGATAAACTCCCAACAACCAATCACAGGATGACACTGCGAAGATCACAATTGGAAAGTAACCCAGATGATGAGCCAACTCAACACAGCTAACCTCGATTATCGTTCCAGAGTTCAACCCAGTATCTCGCCACTCAAGTACCACACACTCCACTCACTCCTACACTCTCAGAGTCTAGCGCTGCATAGAAACAGCCTCCCAGAGGCCAGCGCCATACACCCAGATGGTGATCATGAACAGCGAAGTAGTCTCCAGTGCCGATGAGTCACTCTGACGATAAAGAAGGCAGCTATGGCTGCCTGGCTGCTACCGCAGCACTAGTACCCACATGTACTCAGTGAAGAGCCCCGATGTAGTCCTGCCAACGCAGATATCCCCAGGGGATAGATGCGCTGAGTACAGCCCCAGCTATGGCTGTCTCAAGTGGGCGGCTATGGCTGCTTCACGGCTGCTGAAACCTCAGGTGCCACTGTAGGTCTTCAGCGCTGCTCACTTGGTTGGCCGCAAAACGCTGCATGCGAAAATGAAATGCCAAAAGTCCTGAATCGATTTTCCTCCAGGACTTATAGACTTCTACTCTAGCCTAGACCTAGACCGGACTGACTGGACCTACTGGTACCGCTGCTGTTTCGGCCTCTCGGCCTCTACCGGACCCGGCTATAGGCTATAGGACCGTATAGCAGTATAGGCCTCTTACGGCCTCTCTGTCCTAGGGTAGCCCGGGCCTGCTATAGGCAGTTAGGGTAGCTGTAGGAACTCGGTTAGTACCAGGTCTGTATTTTTCAAAAATTACAGATCTGTCCCTCACGAATTTCCACACAGACGGATCTCTCGGTTAGCCCTCAGCCAAACAAAATTACAAAACTAACCCTACAGGTTAGTATACAGCCTCGCAGTCAATCTTGGCAGCAGAAATCAGCAAGTCATTGCAAGAAGAGGGATTCTGACATTGATTCTGGTTCAGCCATTGAACATTATTATAGTTATTTCTTGTTTGAATAAGAGGAGAGGAGATTAGGAGGAGGAGAGTGGTTGGCGAAGAAGAAGAGCATCGTCATTGGTCTATGCTGGAGTACATCATCTTCTTCTTCTTTCTTTCTTCTTCTTCTTCTTCTTCTTCTTCTTCTTCTTCTTCTTCTTTCCCTCTCTTTCCTCTCAAGTTCATTCATTTCTTTTTGCATTTGGACGGCATTGTGCTTTCTGGTGAATGTGTACTTCGAAATTGGCCAGGATCGTAGCAATGTATTCAAAACAGTACATGCTGGGCAGAGTCCATTTACTCAACCAAAGACAATCATCACCTTCACTGCCAGCCACAGTTTCAACATGGCAACATAGGCCTTCTTCACTGTCAAATCAAACATACAGCCACCATTACAGCACGAAAACATGACATGACAGACCTGCGGTAACTCCAGCGCATTTCGCCAGTTGCCAGGGGTTCTTCAGGGGTCTTTACCTCCTCTTCCCTCTATAACCATCTCCACTTGCCGTCCAACGGGCATCCATCACAGTACATCAATTGCTGTTCACCAATTGCCGTTTGGAGAACCATCATATCATAAATGGTGGTTTTATGTTTACACAGAAGGGGATCTTTTTTTCTTTCTTCTTTTTTTTTTTCAAGGAAAATTTTCGACTATTTCTCAATCTATGTGTGTCATTCTTCTGAAGGTATCATCATCTGTACTTAATAATACTACTTATGCATGTCACTGGTAGTTCCTCTTCCCTAGTTAACATTTTGGGCCCAGGGAGTCAGGGACCCACCCTTACTTTCCCCTTATCTTGCCCAGTCCCACTTCACATACCAGCTGTGTAATTCTGTCCTCAGTCTTCCTATGATTGTACCAGGTACGCATTATAACTGATGCGGGATCCAGGCTTATCAGAACAGAAACAAACCTAGGTTCACGTCCTACAGCTAGCCGTGGAAACCAACAAGCACACAAACTAAACGATCGACAAGCAGGGACAAGTCTGCAGAGACACCCAAGCATGAGGAACAATCAATGCCGTTGTCTCAGGATCTCTCCGGCCAGAACAGATTGAAGTGTTGAGTGATTACTTTTAGGCGACAGATGCTGGATCCCGCAAAGAAACAGCAAGCGAGAACACAAAATTTCAAGACGCAGCAGCTCATTCAAGACAAAACATCATCAGTAAGCAGAGTTCAAAGGAGAATGGCAGAGCTCAGAGCACACCAATGATTGGCTTGTTTCGCGAACAGACCTTGAGCAGAAAGGGCTGCTGTCTTGCATACATAGATTGACCAACCTCAAACGGGAGCTAACACATCACATGAGCATGTATTTCGTCAAAGATATTTGATGTAAAAGACGCTGTACCCGTTTTCCAGCAGGTGCTGATTCCCAGTAATAGAAAGGAGACAGGCAGTCGATCCCCCCCCTGGTGGAGGACAAGTAGGCCTGCCTGACTAGGATATACAGCAAAATAAGTGGAATCTAGGGGGGCAATGTAAGCAATAGAAGGGAAGGACAGTGTATGTTTAAGGGACGCTGGACCCGGTTTCCAGCAGATGTTGCTCAGCAACGATCGGATTGACTGTGTATGCCTATGGGATGCTGGGCCCGGTTTCCAGCAGGTGCTGCTCCCCACCAATAGACCGGAGCTGGCAGCGTACCTGCTGTAGAGGGGTGGTCATATCACCCTCCACAGTAGACTGCCCGGCCTGTTTTTTAAAAAAAGAAAAAAAAAGGAAAAAAAAGGAAGGGCTGCTGTCTCCCATCTGCACCTTTTGTGGCAAGTCAGCACCGCCAGCGTGGGCAACACTGGAACACTGCCTGCTGGCTTGCCCAATGGTCATCCAATTGTGGTAGCGGTGGGACGCAGCCTTCTACTCCCTCGCAGGGTTGCACATCCCATGGGACCTCGGGCTCCCGCTGCTCGACAAGAACCAACAACTGCTGGCGAAATGGTCCCCCCTTGCCACCAACCTCTTCTTATATATGAGATTGCAAGTCCTGATGCTGGCCTGGAGAGCCAGATGCTCCTTTGAAAGAAGGGACCACCAATTTGGACTGCAGCAAGCTCAGCAGGCAATTGAAGAGGAAATCAGGTTCCGTACACACGAAGCCTGGAAATCCTTCATACGGAATTACCGGGAGGAGGAAGCCATCCGGGAGACCTATCGCCAACTCTGGCAGGACCCACTCCAAATCTTTTCCGAACTAGACACCAGGGTCAACATTCAGTGGAAGCTGTGGAGGATGGCAGAGCCTTCATGGCAAAGAAGACCCCTCCACTGGTTTGAGGTCTCCTATCTTCAACCCAACTTTGTTCTCATAACAGACCAACCGTCAGCCTCTCCCTCACCCCAGACAACCTTCCCCCCGAGCCACACAATCACCATTGCCCCCAAGGACTCTGCGCTCCCAGAGGGACGAGTAAGTTATTCAAGTCATCAACCCCACCCACACAGTCAGTGTGAAGAACCCCAATCAACAACTATTCGATGCAGACTCCACAGAGATTACACTATGGATTCTGTGTGGATTACACTGTCAGCGTAGATCCACTACAGAATGAATTGCCATGAACGGGGCCATGCTAGTCTGCTCTGTATCCTACTATCCATCCAATTTTGGTGGATGTCCCAAAAAGAACCATGAACAACTGTTACATCACAAGGAACTGGAAGTTTGACAACTTGAAAAGTGTGCAGGTGTCATTCGGAGACAGGGTTTGATATCTTGTAAGTGATCCCTCCTAGTGGGCTAGTATTTAGTACGTAGGGAGGCTATGACTGCCTTCCTCGTACGCCCGAATGAAAGCGAGCTCATAATCGCGCTTGTCATGATGATGACCGCAGTGGTCACACAACTGGATTTCCATCTCCGCTTGCCACCGACAGAACCAAAGAATAGCTACAGCCAAACAGAAAAGTAAACAGAATACATAGCTAGTAGGCTAGTATTTAGTACTTACCCCCTCCAATTCCAAATCCAAGCCAAAACCTGAAAAAGATGAGGGAGGCTATGACTGCCTTCCTCGTACGCCCGAATGAAAGCGAGCTCATGATCGCGCTTGTCATGATGATGACCACAGTGGTCACGCAACTGGATTTCCGTCTCCGCTTGCCACCGACAGAACCAAAGAATAGCTACAGCCAGACAGAAAAGTAAACAGAATACATAGTACGCAAAGAAACATAGCACCATTTGGTCATGAGAAGTTAAAATTTTGAACCACTCAGAGAGAAACGCAAGCTGACTGCTCCTATCACCCCCCCTAGTAGCCCCGCCCTGGCCTTGTTTAAAAAAAAAAAAAAAAAAAAAAAAACTGACAGAACAACAACATATAGTACCATTTGCTCGTGAGAAACGAAAATTTAGAATCATTCACAGAGAAACACCGCCTTTTTTTCCTAATTTAGAAACAAATCTTGTGGGAAAGTTAACAATAGTAGGTTTGCTGGTGCGGAGTTAGAATTTTGAATCATTCAGAGAGAAACGCCAGCTGACAGAAATGCACATTGTTACATTCCTAATCTTGTTTTTCAAGCCGAACCTGGGGCCAAGTCCCACTTACCTGAATCCTCAATTCCTGACCTTCGATTAGCAAGATCGACGGCCAGAAATGAAGAATCAGCGTAAGTGGGACTTGGCCCCTGGTGTAATGGCCCCAATATCCTTTCTAGACCAATATCCAAGCCTTGGGCACTGGGCCCATCTAACTGCCATTTCGTCAAACTGGACATCTTTTATTTTTTGAACGAAATTGAAACAGAGTTTTTTGGCGGAAAACTCGCCAAAATTTGCTGTTCCTGAGGGTCCGGCGTTTGCAAGATGCTCGACCCCCTGGCTGTACATGGACCTAGCTTGAGACCAGGGACATCTACCTGGATGTGGATGTCCCTGGTCTCAAGCTAAGTCCATGTACAGCCAGGGGGTCCAGCGTTTTACAAACACCGGACCCTCAGGAACAGCAAATTCTGATGAGTTTTCGGCCAAAAAACACGGTTTCAGTTTCGTTCAAAAAATAAAAGATGTCCATTTATCTAGGAAAATAGAAAAGAAAAAGGTATTGACATATTCCCCAGTAGGTCTTTTTTTCTTTTTTTTTTAGGTCTTTCCTGATATTTTGAACAACGGAAGTATGAATGAAAATGAGCCCCCACCTCCCGCCCCCCCACCCCCGCAAGGAAGAAAGAAAAGACGTGCTATGATGCTATCCAGAAACGATCGGCCATTAAAAAAAAAAAAGAAAGGGTTATCAGCTGGTGTTACCCAGCCCTTCAGATGATAAATGATCCAAGGGCTGATGTCTCCAGAGAATCAGATGGTCGCACTACACTCAAATTAAACCAACTCAAATTAAATCATTAAACCAACCAACCACAGAACATTACAATGGCAGATCTTACATAGATGCTTGCCCACGCCTGACTAGATAACAGAGAGAACAGACCTGGAACAAAAAGGTCTGCTCTCCCCTTTGTGTACATACTGTGAGCTAGTCCCACCCAGGAAGAGAGCTACCCTGCAGCACTGCCTATTGGATTGCCCTATGGTGGCTCGCCTTGAGAGATGGTTAATGGAATGCCAATGAGGGGGGAAGACAGTAGGAAAAGGAGGACGACCAAAGTAGACTGACCTCCACAGTCATTAACTACGTCTCGAGGCCGTAGCCAGACACGGACCTTTTTGAGAGATGGTTGAACCACCAGTACTTGGCCCAGCTATCAATGCCGAGCCTGGAATGCCCCTGCGCGCCAATTTTCGCCGAAGCATCGGGGTACCGTTTCAAAAAAAATTTGGCTGGCGCTTCCAGCCATTGTGGCCCGGTACCCCAAAGCCCTAAAGGCGCGGTGCATTAACGGGAAAGCGTCGCGGCCGATAGCTGGGCCAAGTACTGGTGGTTTAATGGAAGACCCAAAATTTGGGGTTTTTCGCTGCATCGCTACACGCAATGCCGTTGAAAATTGCATCGAAACTGAATACAGATATACCCTAAAGCACATGCATATCACACAAAAAAACAAACAACTAAAAAAAAAAAAAACAATTCGGGGAAATATGGCAGTTTCGGTGAAACATTCGCTGAAAATGACACCACCTATTAACCATATGTGCTCGCCTTTGGCGGTGGTGAGATGCAGCCTGGCATTATCTTACAGGCCGCAACTTCCCGTGGGATGTGAACTGACATTTTTTATTTTTTGAAAGAAATTGAAACCGACTAAATTCCCCCGATTTAGACCGAAATCTTGACGAAATTGAGGGTCTGGTATATCCAGGGGGTCTGGCAATTCTTAAAACGCCGCACCCCCTGGACTGAAGCTAAGCCCAGATACATCCAGGGGGTCCGGCATTTTAAGAATGCTGAACCCTCAAGAGCTAAAATCTTCACCTAAATCGGGACAATTTAGTCGGTTTCAATTTCTTTCAAAAAATAAAAGATGTCCATTCTGATGAAAGTGCTGTTAAAACACTTCAATTTCATTCAAAAAATAAAAGATGTCCATTTGGATGAAATTGCTGTTAAAACTCTTCCACTATGAGGAGGTGGAGGGAACTGCGCTAGCGCTAGCGCCCTAACGTCGGCCGACTGGCGAGCCCTGGCGGCACCCGGCTTGACCAGCGCGCTGGAAAGGTGTGCCCCTCCAGGCCGCTGGGCCTGTTCAAGCGCCCGACACATGGCCGTGGTGTTCGGCTTGCCACGTGTCACCTGTCGTTTGGTGACGTGGACGCCCCGTGACGCGTGAGCAGGGGAAGCGCCAGCCGTGTTTGATTGGAGGATTACTGCAAAAAAGTGGCGCGGTTCTTTGGGCGAGCCATGACTACCATTGTTGCATACTGTAACGGTGCAGACCAGAACAAGAACCGACCTCTCTAACAAAGTACAAGATAGCGCAGCGGAAAACTTAGATACCAATGATCCGAACAATCAATATTGCAATGCAGCCCCGAACATACATCATCATCATCATTCCATGGTGTGAAGGGGTCTGGCGCTCACACAGGAAGAATGCACCAGCCCCAACCATATACAGACGAAGAAGAGGGGGGTTAGACAAAGAAGAGGGGAAAATGGGAATGCCGTCAACACCAAGTCTTCGGCACAGGCCCAAATAGTCCCTCGTCAAAATGTCTGAATCCCAATGTCGAGTCTGGATCCAATGTCGTCAAGTCTCAAGTCACAACTCTCTCTCTCTCTGTAGTAGTCTGCTTATACTGAGAAGTCAGGTGGTGAGAGGGGAAGAAGAGATGGTGGACTTAGAAGAGGAAGAAGAAGAACTCTCTCTCTCTCCCTCTCTCTCTCTCTCTCTCTCTCTCTCTCTCTCTCTCTCAGTCCGGTACTAACTTGTGAAGTTGGCGCCTTGATGCAGGTACCTCGAAGATGGAGCTGGAGCTATGGCGCCACAGGTAAGTCTCACTGGCCTCCGCCAGCCATCTCTCCCAAACACTACTACTACCACCTACTAGCGCCCAGCGCTGAAGACTACTACTATGGCTACTAGCGCCCAGCGCTGAAGACTACTGCTAGCGCTAAGCTACTCCTGCARCGCTCCTCCTGAGTGCTGCGGCTGAATCCTGAAGACTACTCCTGCCTTCTGTCCAACTACTTCCCCGTGAAGTGCATTGGAGCTATGGAGCCACAGGTAAGTCTCACTGGCCTCCGCCAGCCATCTCTCCCAAACACTACTACTACCACCTACTAGCGCCCAACGCTAAAGACTACTACTATGGCTACTAGCGCCCAGCGCTGAAGATTACTGCTAGCGCTAAGCTACTCCTGCAGCGCTCCTCCTGAGTGCTGCGGCCGAATCCTGAAGACTACTCGTGCCTTTTGTCCAACTACTTCCCCGTGAAGTGCATGGGAACTCCCTATGTACTTCTCGGCCTGCCTCCTGACTGCAGGGCGAGGCAGTCCAGGAGGCTGCTCTTGCCAATGCCGAAGGGAGTCAGGGGCTGCCGCTGCAGCTCCTGCTTGAGGCTGTCGTGGGAAAAGGCCAGAAATAGCCTGTTCCCGAAACCCTGGTTTTGTGCCTGAGTGTTAGGGTAGGTCGATCTTATGAGGGCCCGAAAGTGGCCCTCCGTTTCAGGCTGAAAAGCCTCAGGGCTGAAAAGCCCTGTTTTAGGCTGAAAACGAAATAGGGCCTGCAGGCCCTCGTTTTCAGTTTTCAGGCTGAAACGACAGGGGCCTGTAAGCCCTTATTTCTAGGCTTTTAGGCTGAGAATGCGGGACGGGCCCTGCAGGCCCGTGTGGCTACGCAGTATGCCACAACCATGGAGGAGAATTTGGCGAGGGAGCTACATATTGAAGCAAACGAATGGCTGATTATCTTGGAGAACGGACGCAGACGGCTACAGGAGATTGTGAGGGACATGTCTTTGCGGCTGCAAATGGAGCCAGAGGTCGAAGGGGGAGCGATCGCTCTCGCTGGTTGGTTGAAGGACAAAAGTGAGGACATAATGGCGATCATTTGGGAGCTGGAGGGGCCGGATCCTCGGTTTGACGTCTGCATCGATTGGAGGAGGGCAGATGGCATCATGTCAGTCTGCAAATCCCTCTTCAATGAGGGTCGCGATCTGTATGATCTTTTGGAGGATTGGTTGGCGGACATCATTGATCGTGAGGACGCGCACAAGGTAACAGCGGTAATATCAAAATTAACAATAACAGTAATGGGTGGGGGCAACAACAGCAACAGCAACAATGATAGTAGCGGCGTGAATACTAACAACAACAAGAGCGACGAAAACATCATCAACAACAAAAACAACAACAACACTGATAATATCAGCAGCAACAACGACGACGACGGTAGTGGCAACTATGGAAACAGCGAGGCTGACAGCTGTGTCCGGGCAGTTGCAATCATCAGTGACATGATGGGGGAGGTGATGCAAGCGGATGAAGGGGAGATTGGGGTTGGAACGGAAAAGGGGTTTATCATCTCCCCCCCCTCAACGATACGGATGACGACAACAACATCGTCAACAACAACAACAACAACAACAACAACAACAACAACAACAGCAACAACAACAACAGCAACAACAACAACAACAACAACAACAACAATATCGACGACGATGATGACGGCGGCCACGACCAAGGGAGCAGCGGGGTAGGAAATCACATTTGGGCGGGTGAGATTATCATCACCGCGTTGGGAGGGATGTTGCAAGTGGAAGTGGTGGGAGATGGGGTTGATACAGAGAAGCGGTTTACTGCTTTCCCCCTCTCCAACCTTCATATGGAGTCCCTCCTCGTGAATTGGAGGAGGATGTGAATAGGATAGCTGCGGGTGATTGATGTTGTCCGGCCTGCAATACTAATCACCAACGGGGGGCTGATCGTCGTGTTGGGTGGTGGTGGGATGTTCAGGGATTATTAGCAGGAGGTTAATCCTTCCTGACAGTCTCACATGATAATGCATATTCCATACTGGACTGGGCATCCAGATCATACATCTCTCATCATTGACAGAGCTTTGCTTTTAGGCTTGATTCATAAAAGATAGTAAACATCATATAGTGATTAGGGTTTCATGATTACAATTCGATAGATAGAATATGGACATATGTAGATTGCAATCAGACTCAACCTATTCACACGTGCACAGCAGCAGACAAACTGGCGACATGCGCCCACACAGTACTCAGAGATATCGCAACCAGATAAGAGTTCTCTTTCAAATGGCTATGGCGGCTGTGCGCCCAAACAACTCACTGTTCACACTCTGGATCACCCTGGATGTCCCACGCACATCACTCTGCACACACACTCAGTACACAAACTCTGCACTCTACACTAAGCTATGGCAGCTATGGATGCCGCTACCTATCGCTTTGGCTACCCTGCTTCACTCTCGCCCACTTCGTCTTCGGGCCTTCAGCAGACCTCCTTGCACAAGACGCTGAAGCAGCGCTTCCGCATGGCTTCCGCATGAATGAATGAATGGCTGGGCGCAGCCTCTTGCTTTATACTTATGTGATGCGTTGGTCTGCCCTGTATCCCTTGGCCCACGGTGTGCACAGTCCCAGACGGTACTTGCTTGACTGGRCCGGACTGGGTGGACTRGGACTGCTGACTGTACGAGGTGGACTGCCACCACTGACCACTTGCCTCTGCCTAACGTAGGCTGACTCCGAAAGGCCACTTCTAGAACTCTCTGTTTTGGCCTTTCGGTACTGTAGCAGCTACGAGTTTGCCCTTTCAGGTAAGTAGCAGCTGCGACCTTGACCCTTCGGACAGTCTACARCTACGACCTCTAGACTGTCTAGAYTCCTACCCGACAGGTCTACGGTTTGAATCTCTTCTACCCTGTAACCTACGAAATCCAACCTACCACTGGCGGTCCTACAGGTCGCAGGTTCAAATCTACGGGTTGACACCGGTACTGTACACAGGTAAGATGGGGAACTAGGGATCGAGCCCTGGGATCTGCATTAGCTACTGCGAATTGGTGAATACCGTTTCACTCCCGCCGGCCTAAATTCGAGGTCCTCCGAGAAAAATTCAGTCCAAGGCAGGACCGTTACCTCTCTGTTGTCTCTCATAGGCCCGGACTATGTCGCGAGCTGTCTCTAGAAGTTCAGATCTCGTGAACCAGCGGTCGTCTTGCGGTTCTTGATAACTAAAATGAACTTTGTACTGTTTCTGTGGACGACCCCTACCTCCAGTCCGGAAGACATCTTCAGCCACTATACCATCGATGTCATATCTTCCATCCATATCCGGTGGGATCATCGACCTACGGGATGGAAATTGATCACTTGTTTGACAAGGTAGCAACTTCGATGCATGAAAAACTGGGTAAGTGTGGAGGTGTGCTGGGAGTTCTATGGTGTAGGATGGCCCATCTTCTCCGCCTTTGACTTCCAAGACTGGCCACGGTCCTCTATAGGTGGGCAGTAACTTTTGCGAGATGTTCTCCTCAGGGGCAAACTCTTTAGAACTGACCCAGACTAAGTCCTCTACTTGAAACTGCGAGGGGCGACGATGCTTGTTGGCTTGCTCTATCATCTTGTGCTGGGCCTTCCTGAGGTTTTCTACAACAGTAGCTAGTTCTTTTTCGTGTTGCATAGAAAACTCCCTGGTCCCGGGCGGCAATCTGTGAATCTGATCCCGGTTGAGTCCTTCAAAGGGTCTGGGGCTTAAGGGACTTATGCAGTTTGTTGGGAGTGCGGCAGTTGGACAGATGCACGCTGTTATTGTATGCACTAGCAACTTTTGGCAGCATCTCATCCCAGTTAATCTGATCTGGCCTAATGTACATGCGCAGAACTTGCTGTAGGATCTTGTTCATCTGCTCTGTCTGACCGTTAGTCTCAGGATGGCGGTCGGACGACATCAACAACTTAGATCCATACACTCCCATGAGTTCTTGCCAGTTCTGGCTGGTGAAGCGACTATCTCTATCGCTAACTATTGACAGTGGGATTCCATTCTCACTCACCCAACAGTCAAAAAACCTCTGTATGACTAAATCAGTACGTGCCTCTGAAGGCAAAGGAACAAAGACTGCGTACTTACTAAAACGGTCAACTATGGCCATGACTTGGCTCTTGCCATGCCTACTCTTGACCTGAGTGTCCATGAAGTCTATGGACACTGAGTCTCCCGGCTGATCCGAAATGGGCAAGGGTCTGAGAAGACCTAACGGGGCACGCGTGGAAGTCTTGTTACGCTGGCGGACTTTACAACTGCGAACATACTCCACGCAGTCATTCTTCATTCCTGGCCAGGTATATGCGCGCATCAGATTGGCTAAAGTCTTCTGCCAACCAAAATGACCCTCTGAGTCGTGGCATTCTCCCAAAATCAAACTACGGATCTCTTCGCTATTGGGAATGCATAGGCGGTCAAATACATTAGTCTTCTAAAAAAGCAACCATTCCATAGTGCGGTAGTTTGGCTCAGCCTCTGGGGCCTCCTTGACCTTCTTGAGGAGGTCACTATAGATAGGGTCCTGTGCATAGGCTTCTCTAATCTTCTGCTGCAGGTCTTTCCCTATGTCTAAGTAATGCACTATTGCCCCAAAGTAATCAGCTCTCCTACTCAGAGCATCCACAACTACGTTATACTTCCCCTTGACTGGCTTGAGCTCAAAGTCGTACTGATCTATCTATGCGGCCCACCTAGTAAGCTTAGGTGTCATCTTGGCCTGCGTCTTTAACCATCTTAACGTCTCATGATCGAAATAGACTTTGAAGTGCCTCCCAAGCAAGTAGTGCTTCCAATGTTCTAAGGCTTGCCTGAGATCATACAGTTCCCTCTCATAGGTAGATGTCGCGACCTTCTCTGAAGGCATTCTGGCGGACATGAACTCTACGGGTCTATAACCATTGCCATCGTCTTGCTGTAACACGACACCTATGCCATACTGACTAGCGTCCGTAGTGACGACAAAGGGCAAGGACGGATCGGCTACCTTAAGGACTGGGTACTCTATCAATGCCTGCTTTAGCTTCTTCATGGCAGACGTGCAGTCCTTGTCCCACTTCCAGATGGTTTCTTTCCTCAACAATCTGCGAAGGGGTGCAACGATGGTGGAGAAGTTCCTCACAAACTTCCTGTAGTATTTAGCTAAGCCCAGGAACAAGTGCAACTCCGTCAGCGTACGTGGCGTGGGCCAATCTCTAATTTCTGCGATTTTACAATCCTCTAGTTTAACGCCGTCTCCGTCTAAGACGTGGCCTAGGTATAAAACTTGGGTTTTTGCCCAATCGCACTTCTTTGCATTGATCTTGAAGTTAGCTTCCCTCAGCTTCTCCAAGACCTGCCTAAGATGACCCTGATGCTCCTCGAGTGTCTTGCTAAACACTAGGATGTCGTCTAAGTAAACTACAACGAACCTGTCTAACCATGGCCTAAACAAATCATTCATACACCGCTGAAAAGTTGTTGGCGCATTGGTTAGTCCAAAGGGCATCACTATAAACTCATAATGCCCGTACCTAGTCCGGAAGGTTGTCTTATACTGATCATCAGGATGTACCTCTATCTGATGATATCCGGACTTTAAGTCTATCTTAGAGAAATACTTGGCCCCCTGCACTCGATCTAAGAGATCGTCTATCCTAGGCAGTGGCTCAGCATTCTTTACCGTAATCGCATTCAGACCCCTATAGTCTATGCACATCCTCGGCTCTCCCTCTTTCTTGGGAACAAAGAGAACAGGCGCTCCAAAAGGAGACGAACTGGGCCTAATCCAACCCTTCTCGAGGAGCTCGTCTAATTGCTTGCGAAGCTCCTCTAACTCCCGTGGGGACATCCTATACACGGCGCCCTTAGGAGTTCTACTGCCAGGCTCTATCTCAATGCGGTGCTGGATGGGCCACGGTACCACTCCTATCGGCGGCTCAGTTACGTCCTTGAACTCTTCCAGCAGCTTGGCAATCGTAGGGTCCATCGGCTTTTCTTCCGTAGGCTTAGTCACTGGCCTAAGATAGGCAACAAAAACCTGTTCCTCCAATTTCTCCTTTTTCACTAATCTGGCGAACGCAGGAGCACTAAGGCAGCAATGTACCAAGGGATTCTCTACTCCTGACACATGGAACAGGCAGACAGTCTTGGCCTCGCCTGAAGAACTAGGGAGCCTACACTCGTGCTCCTTCAAATGGAGCGTGGCCCCAACTGCCTCTCCCCAATCCATCCCCATAACAATATCAATGGGAGGCTGTCTTCTACGAGGAGAGTCAGGGAGTGGAGGACCTTCTCCACTTTCCCATCTTTCTCTAGGCGGAAATACGCCTGGACTCCCTCTACATAATCCTCTACAACCATAGTACGATTGTCCGCGAGGATACTAACTATGGGGTCTGTTAGTTTCTGGACTTTAAGTCCCAGCTTCAGTTTCTGCAACGCTTTCTTACTAATATAGCTGCGGGTGGCCCCTGAGTCTACTAGGGCCCCTATTCTACCTCTAAAAATCTTTGCATCTAGTAATATAAGCTGCCCTTTATTCTCTTTCTTCATCTTGGCCCAGGCGGGCATCCTCTCCTTCAATTCATTAGCCACGCCTGTGAGGGAGGTGTCTAGAGAGACTCTAACGCAAGCAGTCTCTAGACAGCAATCTAGACACCGGCCTGCAACCTCTGCCATAGGCACATGTGGTGTGGGAGTCTCTTGCCGGCTAGCGATATGTTCCCCACATGGCCTAATGGTAGGGGCAGTTGCTACCCCTACCGGCGGCTGCCTTTTGGCCCTTGAGCAGCCGTTCGGGTCTCTCGATACTTAGGACAGTATTTGATGATGTGGCCCGGGTCACCGCAGAAAATGCACTGGCCCCGGTCCAATCGTTGTTGCCATAAAGTCTGGTCCAGACCCAAAGTTTCCCAAGGCTTACCCTGCGGCAGCCCSGGGTGCCATCCTCCTACCCTATAGGGAGACCTATTCCTAGGACGGTTTTGCGGGGGACCTTGACCCCTGCCTCCCGCTTGGCGGTTTCCTCCTCTGCCGCCAACCCCCTGATCGCCTTGAAACCGGCTCCCTAAGGCCCGGTCCCCTTGGCCTTGGCCTCGTCCTCCTTGCGGCCTCCTTCCAGCCGCGACAGCAGCGTAAGTCCTCCCCTGGCCCACACCGTTGTCCTCCTCCTCTAACCCCCCCTCAATCTGATCGTAGGGGATCTCATCCACACTACCCTCATCTAAAGTTAGGACAAGGCTATCCTTAGTCTTCACCTGCCCAGAGATAGTGCGGCCCTTCCATTGTTTTCCCTTATCCAAATCTTTGTGCCAGAAGGTGGAAACTGACACAGATTTTGCCTTAAAGGCCACCACTTCACGGCTAAGGGAATCGTAAGTGGTGGCAGGGTCTTCGCTCTTCGCGAAGAAGTGCCCGCGAAAAGCTTCGGGCATAGCTCTATAGAAGAGGGCGACCAACTGAGTGTCTGTAACCCCGTGGTCAGGGACAGCTACTAATTCGTCCATTGTGCTCTTGAGTGCCCTGGCACTCTTCCACTTACGAGCATGGATCGTCTAGATCTTATCTGAGGCTTTGACACTCCGAGCGACATCAGCAAATCGCTCGTGCAGCAACTTCAGGAAGTCGACGAGAGGAGTGAATGAGGAGTAGGCAACTGCATCATCATTGCAGTTGCCGGCACGGACTAAGGACCTCGCAAAGCTGGCGGCCTCATCTCTAAGCGCATGGATCGCAATCAGAACGTGCTGATCCGGGGAGACCTGTTGCAGATGCACATAGGTCTTGACATTGGCCTCCCAATTGTCAAAGTTCTCTTCCCGTTTTCCACTATAGGAATCGGGGAATTTGACCTTGACCGGCTCCCGACGAGGAGGACGTGCTTCCTCCTCCTTGGGAGCTGCCGCCTTGGCGCCTTCAATGGCGCCAGCGCAAAACCGCTCAGTCTTGTCGAGGCGGTGGCCCACCTCGGCTCCTACAGCACCCACCAACTCGCGAGCAAAGTCCCGGAATCCCAACCGTATCGAACGTACCGCTATATGTTGACTCCTACTAAAGTCATACTGCTCGGCTTGGATTCGTGCTAAGCATGCAACGTTTTTGGCTATGACCTCCATTTTCTTTGGGAGTTCAGTCTGGGCAGCTAATTGCTCTTCTATCTTTTGTACCTCTTCTAATTCTTCTGCCGCCTCCGCTGCCGCGTCTACTCTCCTCTTCTTCTCCCTCATCACCGCCAACTTCCACTCCATCCTCTTCTCATCTTCCAACACTTGCCGCTTTATAACATCTGCTTCTGCTTCTCATGCTCTCATGGCGGCTTCCTGGTCGTCCTTAGAGATATACATCGCCACCTCTTCTTCTTCACCTAAGGATAAGTTGGCGACCCACGTTTCTCCATCTCATCATCTCTGCTGCCACTGTACTGCACTCTCTTCTTCTGCAGTGGCGTTTCATCTTCCTCCTTTTCCTCTTCCACCTCCTTCAACTTCTCCTCTTCTTCTTTCTTCAGTCTCTCTTTCTCCCTGGCCATCTCTTCCTGTATCTTTTTTAATTTGGCCGCCTGCTCCTCCTGTAGGGCCTTCTTCTTGGCCTCTTTCTTCTCCTTTCTTTCCCTCAGGACGGCGACCATCTTCTCCTCCTCCTCCTTCGTGTAAGGTTGGGTGGAAGTACCACCCCGAGTCCCTACTCTACACGTGAAGGTGGGCCAAAAGCCCAGAGGAAAGAGGAGACGCCATAGGGTCCCCCAGAGGGAGAACCCAACGAGCAACCCATACATCGGATAGTCATCCATCGTGGTG